CATGGAAGTATCTTATTTCTTCATTTTCAAAAGGTAGTTTTACAAGGTACATCAGTCTGGATTTCAGGTTGTTTTATTTTAGGGCTTGAAGTACTTCACTCCATTCTCTCCTTGACTTGAGGGTTTGTGTGGAAGAGTCAGCTGTGATTCTGATGGGCTTTACTTTATAGGTGATTTGATTTTTTCTTCTCTAACAATTTTTAATACTCTCTTCTTGCATTGAATTTCTGGAATCTTGACTATTATGTACCCTGGTTTAGATTTTTTTCTTTTTATCCTGGCTACTTGAAATTCTCTATACTTCACTTACGTATATATCAAATTCTGTTTTCCTGCCAGGGAAGTTTTCTGTCATGATGCTTATGAACAGGTTTTCTGCGTCATTTGCATTATCTCCTTTTTCATTGACTCTGATCATACTATGTTATTCTTCACTGTATCTATCCAGCAGTTGTTGTATTAATTCCTCATGGTTCCTTGCTATTTTAGAAATCTTTCTTTTTATGATCTGTAACTGCAATCCTGTCTTCTATATCTGAGATGCTATCCTTATATTAGCTCATTGTGGTTATATAAGAAAATCTAAAACAAATCAGAAAATTGTATATGGTAAGTATGGTGATTTTACCCTCAGGAGAAAATTTAAAAGGGACTAGAGATAAGAAAAAGCAAAGTTGTAGAAGCAAGGCTGGAAGATAAAGGATGATTACTTGAACTTTGGGAAACTTGTGAAGAAGACAGGAGGGAAATGGGAGAAATAAAAACAAGACCTGAACACCAACAATGAAAGGACTGAAAACAGTGTTTAACCTTATATAACACCAAGAACAGATAATTAAGAAGGAACCCCCAAAAAATAAAAAAGAAGAAAAAAGTGTCCAGGAAATGTCTTTGTTGTCACTGGTAGAACAAATGGGCACACTGAGCCCAGGTCAGTGTTGCTTAATCCCAGCAAGACAGCTGTAGTGTCTGGATGCCCCACCCCAAGCTTCATGTGGACACGAGGGGCAGGCTTTGATTACTTCATTGTCTAGCATTGGGACGAGGGGTGTGAGTGCTACACCCACCTAGGGCAGGTAGACTGCATACAGTATAAGGGAGAAAACCAGATTTTCTCTTGTTGCTTTTGCTGCCTTCTGCTGACATGAACAGTGGCCCCCTCTGCATGCCACTCTGCCTTGGAGCCAACTGACTATGGACTAAAACCTGTAGAATAAGATAAATAAACCTTTGCCTTTCAACTTCTGGCGTTGAATATTTTGTCCCAGCAATGAGAGAAAAGTGACTAATACATAGATAAGCCCAGGAAGCCAGTACCTTTCTTCCCACTGAAATCTACGATGGTTTCTGGTTGTGAGACTGGACCCCAGTCTGTTCAGCCTGCAGCACTCAGTGTACTTCCTGCCTGCTTGAACTTGGGTCCGCCTCACCCTGACCCTGGGAATTACTAGATGTGAGCTAGTCCACAGCTGCTGTGAGTTTTGTGCCCAACTGGCCCCTCTCCAAGATGGCTTCCAGCCAGTTGCCCTCTTCTAGTGGACGTCTGAGCCCCAAATAACTCACCAGCCATTAGAATCCACTACTGCATTCCACCGGTGCCTTTCTCTGAGGAGGCCTTTGACATTGCCAGTAGTTGCCTGAGTCTGTAGATTACAGCTACTCCTCCCGCACAGCGTCAAGGCTCAGGGAGACAGTACCATTTGGTTGTCTCCTTCTTCTGCAGTGGAGTCTCTCTTTGCTCTCACCGTGGACTTCAACTTACACTTCAGTTCCTTACCGTGTCCTGGGGAACCACTTCTTTCCTTCTCTTCCTTGCATTGCTGTATTCCAGTGTCTGAACAGCAAATCTCAGGGTGTTTCTGCTGTTGACGGTTGTGCCACCTTCTTTGTAAAACAGTTTGAGAATTACTTAGAATGTGTCATTCTGTTACTGCATAGCTCTGGTGGTGTTTAGAATAGTTGAAAAGTAAATACATAACTTTCTGAATTCTGACATCTTTAATCTTAAAGGGAGATATGAGTGGTAGTAATTGTCTAAGATGTACAGTCAATTTAAAGTTAATGGAAAAGCACAATAGAAGTATTTTCATAATGGCAGTATTTCATAAGCAAGCAAGCATCAATCTGCTTGCTTCATGATTGTGTCAAGTTTGACTCATTCCTGATCTTTTCTTGAAACCGGGCCTATTTCACTCTAACAGTGAAAAGAATGAAGAAATAATATTGTTGCTAGATGGTATAGTTGGATACAGGCATCCCCGCCTCTCAACAACCAAGCTAGACAGACATTAACAGAGTTTAATTTTCTGGTAAGGACCATTTTGGGGCTTGCATTTTAAAATCTAGTTGTGAATCAGAGAAGCCTCAATTGTTAATAATCATAGCTCCTTATGTTTTGAGTATAGGAGTGTTGGTTTCTTTGTTTCAGACAGTCTTGCTGTGCAGTTTAGATTCACCTTAAACTCATTGTGTAGCCCAAGCTGGCCTCAAATATGCCATGATCTTCTGCCTCAACCTCCCAAGTGCTGGACTGACAAGTGTTTGCACCGTCCCCAGCTTTATGTTTTAAAATAATCAAATATTTCATAGTTTGTGAAAAGTTGAGTATGATATCTTTGGAGTAGGTCTACAGGGATTTGGGGGTTGACCCAGGCCCGTGGTCCTAAGCGTGTCCTCTGTAGATGCTCAGCGTCTCACTGCACCCAGCCCCCGGATAAGGGTGTCTGATTACTTAGGCTGCAGTTGCTTTTTTAGAGTAAAAATGGTTATTTTAGAAGGCCTTAGATTTTTGTAGGCTATTTCATAAAATGTGTTTTTTAGAAAAGGACTATGCTAATTAATCTGTTTTTATTTTTTAATAAAATATTTTTATATCACTTTGTCTACTGTGAATAGACTTGAAAATTTTATATTTGTGACCTGATTTCTAAAAGTGAGTAAAGTATATAATTATTCTATTTTTAAGGACTTCTCCTATCTCTGAATTTACAGTCTCTTAAGAAAATCCTTTTATTTCTGCTTCTCTTTTTGGTGCATTAGTTGCTTTTTAGTTACTGTGGATTTAGAAAAAAGACACTCCCTTGGTATTTGTGAACATTTTTGCAGGATTCTTTCCAGTTACTGGTTTTCTTGTGTTTTGGGAGGTGATATATCCATACATCCACAAGGTTTAAGGTGCAGAAGTTAACAGATGTCACTTTCAGACCCTGCCCACCACCATGGTTACCCTGCCAGAGTCTTTGTTACCTGCAGAGAGGCTTTATGTGCCCTGTATAAACACAAGTGCATTTACACATGCACGGACTCAGTTACGTTTTGTTACGTCATGTGTTCCTTCTGCCTCCTCTGTTCAAAACTGCTCATTTTTTCCCTCCAGAAAATAACTTTGAAGTAGTCCCTCTGGACCCTGAAGACTTTTCTTCTGTCTCTTGTGTCTTCAGAGTGTGTGTGCTGTACCTTCCTTCACTTTTCCTTTGTGGAGAGTTGGGGCTGAAATCTGTTTCTATTCGAAGGGTTACTGATAAGTGCACGAAGTGACACACATGTGTGCCCTAATCTGTAGGATTTTTCTGATGCAATGAAGCTCTTGATGTGCTAAAATGTATTTGTTTTACTTAGTGATAATAAAATAAGTCTTTTATACCCAGTTTCATTGTTCTTTTTTACATTGTGATCCATCAGCTAATTTTGTAATATTTTTCACTTCAATTTCAATAAAAAATTTTGACTTCAAATTTTTTGAGAATGGGATTTTTAAAAATGCAATTTCACTTAGAGTAATAATCTATTTCATTCCTAAGTTAAAACATTAAGTTTAACACAGTGGGATGAGTGCTCATAGGTTATAGTTGGAGCATTAAACATATCTGAGTTTGTACTTTACAGATTTTATAATAATAGCTCCAGTGCAGTAGGTTTTGTTTTACGGGTGAAAAGCTTTTATGTGTTAGAAGTTTGATACTGTGTTCTCATAATTTTTAACACATTACTTTTGTTCTCTAGAATGTGTATTTCTTAACTGTTAATTCCCACATACTTACACTACAGTGCTTAACCACTCTGATAGTGTAGTACTTAAACTACAGTGATAAATTACATCGTCAGTGTGCATAATTAACACAGTTGTATTAATTAATCATTTTTAATGTTACCTCTGTACTAGCTTATGCTTTACAGGCATTGGTTTATTTAAATTTCACAATAAAAAAGAATTACAGGTATTCCCACTTTCAGATAGTTTAAACAGAAGTTTAGCAAGGTTTCACAGTGGGCTGAAGCTGGCGTAAGCAGCAGAGCTGAACTAGAACTCAAGCCATCCTTTTTAGCTGTGGCTTTGACCACTCTGCTTACTGCCTCATGTGTAGGCCGGCCTGTGCATGGCCTTCATTCTCTCTCATCCTGTTGCATCAGCCCAGGACGATCTCTGTTCCTCAGTTACTCTGTGCTATAACATCTCAGCTCACTGAGGGATTCTTCTCACTCACCCGTGCCCTCTGCCACCAGTGTGGGCTTTCCTGTCCCCGAGATCCCCTGGGGTTAGCTGCTGTTCATACATCATCTTATCCAGAGCCTCATGGCTTAGTTGTGAGCTTCAGAAAGTCAGTGACAGCTTGTTTTTGCCTGTATTTCATGAAGTATTCAGTGCCAGGGGAAGACACTCAGTACTGGAAGGAATGAGAGAATGGGAAAAGTTCTCTCTTTGTCACTATAACCACTACCAATAACCTTTTCTGCTTTTGCAAATCATGAGATGATACTGCATTAACAGTTTTAGTGGGAAATAAACTATTTTAGATACTTGGTAAAAATGCATGCATTTGTAAAGATTGTAAGAATGTCAGTAATCCACATTGAATTTCTGGGAGATTTTGGCAAACAGCAGATAATGTATCAGTAATTAAGGTCCGTGGTTTTTCAGAAATACAGAAATTACTATGATTTCCAGGTATATATCTTGAGAAAATGAAATTTTTATATTATTTAACTTTTTTTCTTTCCAGTGTTGAAGGGCTCCATGCTATTGTTGTATCAGATAGAGATGGAGTACCTGTTATTAAAGGTAAAACTTAATACTTAAATGTAAATGTCATGTTTGCTTTAGACTAAAAATGTATACATTTCCTTAACTTCTGAGCAATGCAGAAGACAAATATATAAAACTTATTTCAGCAGGTTCAGAAGAGACCCTCATTTTTATTAACAGAATCATTTATATATAAGAGCACATACATGTTTCGATCAGTGTTGCTGTTGGCTTTAGGATAATACCCTGAATTAGTCACTTTCCATTGCTGAGACCAAATACCTGAAATCTGCAATTTAGAGAAGGTGAGGATTTGGGCCATGCTTGCCTGGGTCCACGGCAGAAACAGGATGGTGGAATCACTGCTGGAGAGAACTACTCATGTCCCAGCAGCCAGGAGCAGAGCAGAGGAGGAAGAGGGAAATTCACCTGCCAGGTCTCAGCCCCAGTGATGCCTTTCTGACTAGGCCCCGCCTCCTGCCAGCATACTGAATTGTGGGAGCCCATGATTCAGTCACCTTCCAGAAGCCCTGCCTCTACGTGCATCTTGATCTGAAGCATGGCACATACCTCTGTTACATCATCCATTATTTTGTTTAGTGTTACGTAAGTTTTGCTTGCTTCTTTATTTAAAATAGTTTTAACCTGTTAACATCACAATTACTTTAATTACAATCTCAATTTCTTCCCTCTTACTAGATCTTTAGGCCTTTTTTAATTTATTGTTAAGAATTGATGGTGTTTAGCTGGGCATGGTGGCGCATGCCTGTAATCCCAGCACTTGGGAGGGTGAGGCAAGAGGATTGTTATGAGTTTGAGACCAGGCTGGGCTACAAAATGAGTTCAAGGCCATTCTGAACTGTAGTGAGATTCTGTCTCAAAAAGACCAAAATAGAGGTGGTGTCATGGAGTCAGTCTGCTTTACATATTTTTCAAGGGAATAGATGTTCATAGTTACACTGAAGCACTGTGTTATCTTCACTGGCGATTAATGAGTGAAATAGGAAAAATGTAGCCAGCTACAGAATTATTAATAACTACAAAGAGTGCTGTGTGTGTTCTGAAAGCAAAGATGTTTGTTCTTTTTCATTGTTCTTGAGTGGCTCTCAGATAACCAGAATACTGTTTATAAAATGTACTTGATTAATCTCTGTCCTAAGGTATGTATCAAGAATTCATAAAAACCCAAGTCAGGAGGCTTACTTGAGTCCAAGGGTAAGAGACCAACCTGAACAGCATAGCAAGACCTTCTTTCAAATAAAAATAAAATAAGCTGGGCATGGTGGTGCATATCTGTAATCCCAGTACTCTGGACTCCTGAGGCAGAAGGACCACAAGTTCCAGTTCTACCAGCAGACTGTGAACCCAAGGAACAGGCAGACACCCATTGCAGAGGTGGCCTGGGTTCAGTGCCCAGTACTGTTGGCACCCGCTGCACTGAGCCTCAGTGACCGTTACGCATTGCATTTTGACATGAAAATGCTGTCCCAGTCGTCGTCGTCTGGTACTCCACACAGAAGTTAGACCTCATCTCATGCTGTTCCTTTGTCTCACTGTCCTTTTCAGCCACAGAAGTTTGTTGGCTTCTAGTTTATAGTACTGAAGTACTGAAGTAACAGGATAAATAATTAAAATAGTAAAAGTGGAAGCCAGCAGTTCTTCCTTTAGTTACGATCACTGAATTTCTGATAGAGCAGTTTTTCCATGTAAACTGATGAGACCTGATTAGTGGCTTGATTTTAGTAATTGAACTTAACTTCAATCAGCTTTTTATCAGTGTGTGTTTTTTTGAAAAGGTGCTGTAAACCTCCATCCCGGTCCTCCATGGATTCTTTACTTGCATCTGTTGCTTTTCTAGTGGCCAATGACAATGCCCCAGAGCATGCGTTGAGGCCTGGCTTCTTGTCTACTTTTGCCCTGGCAACAGATCAAGGGAGCAAACTGGGACTGTCAAAAAATAAAAGCATCATCTGTTACTACAATACCTACCAGGTAAATCCTTGGTTATCCAATAGTTTGCTGATGCTACCTATGCGTTTTGTGTTTCATATAAGAGAGCTAGTGTTAGCGTTCTGCATTTGTTTTGAAGAGGATGAAACTTTTAAAGTTTTTAGTTTTCAACTTGGTTATGTTAAAACTAGTAGTGTTCTTTACATTTTTATACCAAGGAATAAGCACTATTAAGAAACACTTAAAAGATTTAAAAATAAAATACACCTTAAAATTATACCACTGTTAACTCCAGTAGATGGTGCCATTGGCTAAACAACTGATTTCTCAGCCTGCAGTTTTTGTTGTGACAGGTGGATGAAAGTCACATAAGTTACTTAAATTTGCACAGTTGGTAATCCTTTCATTTGCTTTGAAGTACCTGCATAATGAGCGATTTTACAATCTGTGGGAAGCTACATTTTTAAAAGGTGTTTAATTTAAAGTCACTTAAATTGCAGTGAGAGGAGAGGTTATGAAGGTGAAACCACAGCAGTTCTCCTTTGTCCATGGGGGGCCTAGAACTACAGAGAGCAGCAGAGCTCATGTACAGACCTAGGATAAGGTTAATGTATGAATGACGGATAGTAAGAAATAAACAGTGTCGGCCAAGCACTGTGGCGCATGATGCCCAGCCCTCAGAAAGCCGATACAGTGGACAGCTACAAGTTTGAGGCCACTCTGGGCTACATAGTGAGTTCACACCCCGCCTGCATTGCAAACCAAGACCCTGTCTCAGACAGCAACAACAACAAAATGATGGCTTGCTGCAGATCTTAGCAACCTCAGCATGTGACTTTTTCTTTTCTTGTTGAGAATTGTCATCTTTCCACCTAGAGGTAGCTCTGTATGCTTTTTCTTAGCATATCTAAATTACCAGCATCACTCTTCATGGCTTTGAGCCATTATTAAGAAAACTAAGGGCCACTTAATTAAACCCAAGCACTGCGGTGCTGTGGCTGTCTTATCTGATAAGCCAGGTAGCTAGTGGGTGACTGACTATACGGTGAGGAGGTCTCTGGGTAGAGGGTGATCCTGTCCAGAGTGGAGCAGCATCACATGACATTCCATTATGCCACTGGAATGGTGAGCAATTTAAAACAGGCATTGTTTATTTCCGAAATTTTCTATGTAATATTTTTAGACTGTGACTGAGCCTGGGAGGCTGAATCCTTGGGAAGCAAAACCACAAATAAGGACAAGGACATTATAGTACTTTAGTTGCTTAGAAATTACCACTGTTTTGTATTGAATTGCCAATTACTTATTGAACCTCTAACCTCTACTTTGTAAGTGACACGTGGACTTTAGAAATAAAAAGACAAAGACACAGTTTCACCTTGAAGACTTTCAGGCTAAGTGATGTTAATGTCTCTAAGATATGTCTGTTTCATGAAGCCGTTTTCTCCTGGCACCTTCATATTCCATGATGTAATACCATGGTGTTATGCTACTAACATGGAACCTATTAAAATTTTTGAAAGATTAAATATTTCTGTTGATTTATGTTACCTTTTCACAATGTATCATAGTATTTAGATCTTATTTTCTTTGTAGGTGGTTCAGTTCAATCGTTTACCTTTGGTGGTGAGTTTCATAGCCAGCAGCACTGCCAATACAGGTGTGTGTTTTAATTACAGATTTTAATTTTATAGCACCATAGCTGTTCAGTATAGATGAGAGGTTTAGATTTGATGATCTGTTAAGTCTCTTCCTAACAGATTTGTCAACATTGTGAAGCTTTCAGATACTATGTAAAAGTAACTTTGCTCCATGGGATGGTTGTAATGTTGTATTTTAAGTGCACTGAATCTCAATTTTTATATCACCAGTCAACACATACCAAATCACCAGTTATCATATATTGTGATCTGTACATACTTAGGTTTTAATTTTTTCCTTGAGAGAACAGATGCTTTTGATGGTCCATAAAATAGTAAGATGTTTGTGTGAACAGAAAATAAGCACCAAGGTATGTAACTTTCCCTTTGGTGGTAAACTAAGACAGAAGGTGTGCTAGTTTCTAGATGAGTTTATATCTCAGACTCACTATTGAACTTTGTTTTGAGCAATTTAAATGTGTTTTATATTCTGCCATTCACCTTTAAAGTAATTTTTATGTGAAATACGCAACTATTCCTTTCCTCTTTTGATAAATGTGCATATGCTCAGAAAAAATACACCTTTTGTGAAAAATCGTGAATGATTTAAAGTTTATGCGTATTTTGAAACAAGGTCTAAGTTAAGGACTTTTTCCCCTTTTAACTGTCTATAACAAATTATGCATATAATTTATTTTGCATCTATTAATGCAGATTTTTTTCATCCATTTACTTTAATGATAGATGATACAAGTAAATACTATTTAAAAACATTTTGCTGTGTGGGGTAGTATGTCAATACTTTAAGTGTACTAAGCCTCTATTTTGGTATCACAAGAATGCAAATACAATTTTTGCTTAATTTATTCAGAATTACAGTATTTGGTTTTAGTTATAGAAAATAAACTTCTATAGCAACTAAATTTTGGACAAAAATGAATTTTTGGTTTTGAAAGTGGATTGAAGTTAATGACATTTATGGACATTTTCCTAACAGCATTATCTTTTTAATCTCTTTGCTCTAGGACTGATTGTCAGCTTAGAAAAGGAACTTGCTCCTTTATTTGAAGAACTGGTAAAAGTTGTGGAAGTTTCTTAATCCGACTGTGATTTCAGTGCTCACCTTGTTCTCCGTATAACAACACAGCATCAATCCAGCAATCTGTAGAACATGTAATCTTTCTATCCAGGTACTCAAGAAAGGGCCCTCTGTCCACCTCCTACTAAAGAACGAGCCTCCAGATGGCTGCGTTTCCTTGTCTAAAAGCTCTTTCCTTGTTAAGTGAGATCGGCGGCAACCACGGAACTAGTTCTGACTGTACAGCTCCCATGGAGTGAGGTAGCCTGGCCTCCAGGGTAGGTGAGGTTCTACCCGTGGTTCCGAATCACAGTGGCACGTGGTCTATAGGTGGGTCGCCATGCTCACTTTGTACAGTGCTCCCAGGTCTTTGCATGGCAAGGACAAATGAGGACATATTTTCTTCAAATTATGCTTTATTTCTTTGGATTGAGTGTGATGAAGATAAAGTGGCTTAGTAAAAGTAATAAAATCAGTACAATCACTAACTTCTTTCGTATATGTTATTTTGCAGTGTGGGTAAATATTACTAATTGATTATGATTCTTCTCAGGATGCTGCTCTTTAATAAAAGAAAAATTATTTTATCTTACGGTTTTTTTTCCTGTTCTCCTTTGTATAACCTATCAGTATTTTTAATGTTTGTTCTTCATAAAGTGTAAATGATTTGTTACTGAGTTTTCAATATAAGGATATATGTAAACATGATAGTATAGCCTTTTTTTCATACACGAGTATGAATAAAGTAATTTTTTAAAAAGATAGTTTGACCACTGTATAAGTTTTTTTTTTTAACCCACATTTCTTCCAAAAGCTTATAAAGAGCGTAATTAACTGAATTGCTATTTCCACCTCATGAGTGATCACAGCTGTTTCTTGTGGGTATCGGTTTGGATTTGAATTTGACAGAAGTACCTCAGTTCTCAAGCGTGCTCTTGTGGGATCAGGAATGCTGCCTCTCGCTCAGGGCAGCCTTCCCTCATCTGTTCTTTGACATCTTGTCACGTATGTAAGTCAGTGCCTCTCTGTCATTCCCTGGGGCCACCACCGTGCCGTGCAGTGCCGGCAGCCTCACTTCGCTGTGCACAGTGCTGTGAGGCTCTGCAGGAAGGTGCTGTGGAATCAAGACAGGCTCTGACCTTCACTGAGCACTAAGCCTGTTGTACCCAGGAAGCAAAGAGGTCTTATCTGCAGAGCATTGCAAATAGCTAACTGCTGTGACTTGGTGAAATGCCGGACATTGCTGTTACTGTCCACCGTATGGTTTCCCGTGAGGTGGTGTGTGAAACAAGGTCTCCTAGACATGAAGTGGCCCTGTTTTTATTTGCAGGTACTTACGTATCTAGAAACTCCAGGAAAAACTGGAAATACACATATATCCAATATTGGTGCTCTTCTATTTTGATCTGAGGGATACAATAGATTTTTCTACGGTCTAGTCTATCTGGAAAAAATTAGCTCATGAAGATTGCTAAGAACTGTAGAAGGTAGTATAAAACTTTGCGTACAACCCAGAGACTGACTTTTCTGGGTGATATACATACACATAAATACAGCATTAATACGACATCATTTGTTAGCGGGGAAGGACTATCTGGTAGATGGAACAGCCTTTATGTTATACTCTACTAATAGCATAATTCAATAATTGTTATACTCCTTACATATAACAATTCTACAGTCTTTATCAGCTACACATGACACACTGACCTTTGGTCTAGCAGTTCCAGCGTGTTTATATTTTGAAGTTTTTACCAGAAATACAAAATCCTGGCTTTCCAGGAGGAATTGAGTGGAGGCCCCTGCCCCCTCAATGCAGAGCCAGGCATTGCTCAGCTCAGCTCCTGTCCCTTGTGGCTCTGTGTCCTTAAAACTGACCAGTAAGAACTCTGGCTCTAACCTAGTTCCTTGGCATGTAAGGTTTAAAGGAAATAAGTTTTAGAGAAAAGCTGGTTATTTTTCATTTTAAGTTCACAGAAACTTGAGCTCAGTAAGGTGTGGCTGCAACTCCTGGTAGTGAGGAGTGGGCTGTATTCCATGTTGGCTGCAGAACTCCATCCTTGGCCCAAAGTCCCAACTCAATTGTCTACCCTTATTTTAGTTCTAGTTAATTGCTCAACTAGTTAATTATCACAGGCCCTCTGTAGCTATGTGCATTGTTCAGAAGCTAACCTATTTACATTTCCCTCTGCAGAAGTAACCCTTTGCAGCCTTTGGGGTGAAGGACTAAAGATCAGATCTTGCTGCTTCTAGCCGAGAAGGGTTGAGAAGGGTTGGTGTAGAGAAGTGTAGCAGTCCAGAGAGCTCTTTGCAGGAAGCTAATGCACGGAGCCTGGATAGAAGTCGTGTTGGAGTTCAGTGGTTACGTATGGATTCTTCAGAGTCAGTCTAGTAGATCTTGATGAGAGGCTTTCACCACAAAGCCCTGTGAGACCATTTATAACTGGACAGCAGTAACTAGCTCAGAACTTAGCAGTATGTTTCCCTATACTCTCAGGGGAACCTCCAGTGATGTTATCATACAATCTAAGCTTGGGGTCTAATAAAACTGACAAGTCACAAACTGAAAAGTGAAAGGGTTTTTGTTAGAAATAAGAAAGGCTTCTGATTTCCAGGAGGCGTCCCTATGGGTGTCTACAGAACAAGAAATTTACCCTAGCAGCAGAATGAGCAAAGTTACATACTTTGCAAACATATTCTTTGACAATTGGAGCTATCAGAAGATTGGAGACATGTTCACCCCAAGTAGGTGATTGTATTGTTGGTTTTCCAGACTGTACCAGTTTATACTTGCTATTTCTGGAATAATTGTTAATGCACTTTTCACTCCTAAATGTCTCGTTTTAGGTAGAGGTTTGCTTAAAAAAAAATAACTTATCTTTGTCCACCTGAAGAAGGAAGTGCCCTAAGTTCTGAGATGAGAGGATCTCCAAAGTATAATGTTCGGTGAAAGAAGGCATGATTTGAGATGTAATGTGCTACATTTTGTAAGAAAAAAATATACTTGTACATTCCTTAGGTTTGTTCGTGTATTACTACCTGAAATTGACTATAGTGGACCCCTTACCATAAATGTAACTTTCTGAATTATTAACAGCTAAAAATAAATAGCTAAGATACTTCAAAAAACCAAAGTGATGTTTGGGAAAGTAGTATTAGGAAAGAAAGTTGTGCCAGCATTCTTAAAGGAAGGACCAGTAAGACATATTTTAGCACACCAGTATGTGGCATCATTGAAACTGGCTGTTCTAAAGTGTTTCAAAGGCTTGCAGACCCAGAGGCTTAGACTGGTTTTGAGGTGAGATTTCTGCCTGAAATCCACAGCTAATCGGGTGAGACATGCCCACAACACGAAGTATAATCTTTCACTTACATTCAAGGGATGGTAGCTGTCAGCCAGCCATAAGTACCTCCACAGTAGCACTTGGCCTCATGTTTGATTGGGTGCTATTCCCTCACCAAGTGGAAAAAACCTAACCATTGAGGTGCCCCCTCCTCAGCTTAACATCTGTGTACTTCCTTAGAGCACGTTTTAGTCTCCATTCCCCACAGCCTAGGCGGACAGCAGTCCGGTATACAGCCCAGGGTCTTCCTGGGGCACTTCCACAGAAGCCGCTCCCATTTCTCCTTGCTGTGCTGTGACTTAGATACTGTGAGAGAAGATTACTGTTCATTCCGTTGAGGGGAGAGGGAAAAGGGGTCTGTTCTGTACACGTGTGAATATGTCTATGTTGGTACACGTGTGGATACAGACGCCACAAGACCACAGAGCTGCCCTGCGTCCCTTTTGTCCTCAGCGCCACGCTGAGGCTCCGCCTGGTGCAGTAGTTCACTGTCACTCCTGAGCAGTGGGAGCCATCAGTGAGCTTCCTGTGTTGGGCTGGGTGGGTTCTGTTAACCTGAGTCGCAGAAGCTGGTGGTGCGAGGGCGTCCTGCCTGATGAGTCCACACACTTCTGAGCGCAGGGCCGCAGCAGGCCAGCTTTCCTGGGACTGGGACCCTGAACCCCTGTAGAGGGATGACTCAGAGGTGCAGAGCCTGACACAGCAGGGCGGTGGTCTTCATGTCCCTCTCAATAGCTTTGTCTCCTGAAGAAGATGCAGCGGACGTGGCAAGGTGAATGCATATTTTTCTCTTGTTTTTTGATTTTTGATACAATCTCACTTTGCAGCCCTGGCTGGCCTGCTCTCAGGGATTCTCCTGCCTCAGTTTTCCAAGTGCTCAGATTAGAGGTGTGCAACACCACACCTGGCTCTTTCTTTCTAAAGATACATTTAATATTACATGTTTACAATATGTTTGCCTTTTTTGTTTTTTTCTCTTGATACTGGGAACCAAGCTCGGGACTTGGCTTGCCGGACAGACAGTGTGCTGCGGGGCTGTGTTCCCGGCCCACTGACCACCCCTTAATCATTCCACAGCCCACTCCTCTCCCTGCCTCTGCACCTGCAGGACTGCCTCACTGATTCCTACTTTATTTTGCTCTTTAAATTATTTATACTTTAGGTTTCTCTGTAACAGAAACCTACACGTTACCTGACTTGATGCTGTGTGGCCGTGCAGTGCTCTGGAAGCGTAGTGCTTTGGGAAGCCATGGTGGAATGGGATTTCTTTGTCTTTTTGAGGAGCCTCTTTACTGGTTTCCATAGTGGTTGTACTAGTTTACATTCCCACCCAGAACGTAGAAGGGCTTCTGTCCCCACTAGCTTGCCAGTATTTGGTGTTTTTTTCAGTCCTTGAGAATAGCACTTCCTTCTAGAGTGAGGGGAGTCTCAGTGTTGTTTTGCATTTTCTGGTGGCGGAAGATGCTGGATGCTTTTTCACATGCTGACCCTGTTTACTTCTAGTTCATCGCAGTTGCCCTGTTTTTGAGTGGGACTCCAGTGATTTCTGTGAACCATTAAGATGTATGTTGCCTTCAAACTCTACACAGTGTCTCTCTGATTGTAGGAGAGCCAGATCCAGCAAATAGATCAGGAGAGAGAGGTTGACAGGCCCAGTGCTATCAGACTTCTAGAAATTCAGTTATATGGAAGGTGCCCGAGTTTTTATTGAGTTGATTTTTCGTTTCTTTTGTTGTGAAGACCTTGCCTTGAAGACTGCAACCAGCTCTTCTAGACTCTGAAACCGAGGCCAGTGACAGCAGTGTGCTCAGTCCCCTTTCCCTGAAATGCTGTCCACATTGCTGACCAAATCTGCCTTTCCCTCAGGAGCATCCCTTCAGAAAAGGCCTCCTGCTCCTTCTGCTCAAGAGACACCTGGATCTGTGCTCTTAGGGTGTGGCCAACAAACTGGACCCTTCTGCACACTGTGTGAGCAGGATACTTGCAGAAGGTGAGAGTAAGTACTTAGAAACTGACAGCATTTCAGCCAGGCATGGAGGTGCACACCTATAATCCCAGCAAGCTGGAGGCTGAGGCAGGAGGATCACAGGTTAAAGTCCAGCCTGGGCAATGTAATGAGTTCTAGGCCAGTCTAAACTACTAGTGAAGCCCTGTCTCAATGAATCAATAAACATACTAGTTTGATATAACCTTGTTATATCTGATTTTAAAAAGTGGGGTTGTGGGGGCTGGGGATTTAGCTCAGCGGCATAAGCGCCTGCCTTGTAAGCGGGCAGTCGTCAGTTCGATCCCCAGTACCGATAAAAAGGAAAAAGACAAAAAAAAAAAAAAAAAAAAAGTGGGGTTGTGGTTTTTGTTGTTCTGAGGGGCAAACCCAGGGGTGCTGGACCACTGTGCCCTACTCCCAGCCCTCTTAATGTTTTTTACTTCTTAAAATTTATATTAAAAAATTTATAATAAAATAGAAAATAGCAACAGTTAATCCACTATGTGTGAGACACAGTCTTCCAAAATTCCTCAGGCTGCCCTCAAACTTGTAGCCCCCGTGCCTCAGTCTTCTGAGCAGCTGGGATTATAGATCTATACCAGCATGCCCAGCATGATACTGTATTTTTAATTTCATTTTTCTAATCATCTCAAAATTGAATTTTACAAAATCCCAGTCTATGAAAGTTTTTGGCTTTTTGAGACGGGCTCACCGCTGTTCAGGCTGGCCTTGAGCTCACTTTGCAACCCTGGCTGGTCTCAGACTTGCAATGATCTTCCTGCCTCAGCCTTCTGAGTGCTGGGATTAGAGGTATGCACCCCATACCCAGCTGGAGATCAGTTATTTTTAGGAAAGCATATCTGGTCTCCACCACTGATGGTTTGGAAACTACAAGAAGCCACAGCCAGGCCACCATGCCCACTAAGCACATAGGTCCTGTGTTGTGACCGCGGCTGGGGCTGAAGCTCTGAAGTAGATCCAGGGAAGGCATGGGGTGGGTGATTTGCTGGCACAGGGACAACACACAGGAGAGGTCAGGAAGGCAGAGCCCCTTGCACAGCCACCTGACTTGACCTCCCCAGGGGACCAAGGGGGACAGCAGCCACTCCTGCAGAGGCCTGGCAGGGCCCCCAGCTCCCATCAGCACAGTATCCCCTGTAGTGGTCGGGGGCTGTGCCCAAGCCCATCATTTTGGGGTACAGGTGGCGCTTGGTCTGGTCCTACACCTAAGGAGCAGTGCGTGTTAACTGTAGACTCCAGCAGCCGGCAGCTCGGGCCTGTGCGTGAGGCCCCATCACCCCTCACACCTGCCCCTTGTCCTCATCTTGCTCCTGGGCCGCTCGAGTGTCCATCATTGTCCATCCCTGTATGGCCCGGCTCTGGGTTGAGCTGACACATCACTGCAGCTGTACTTACGTTAAGTCACATGTTCTTTTTAATAAAACCAAAGACTATAAATAAGCATTTTACAAACAGTTAAAACAATATTACAGTGGTGACTTCTGACTGCAAGCCTGGCACAGTGCATTTTCAATTGCATAAGACGGACAGCAGAGGTCATTAAATGTACTCTATCCGCTGAACCTCAGATGCCCATCCGACAGGGACTCGCGTAACGAGATACTCCTTTGGGCCAACAAGCACAGCCCTCCAGCTTTGCACCGTAAGCTTATTTTCTGGTTCTCATCTATTTTGGTTCCCCTTCAAGCCTCTGTCTCAATGAGCAGTAGTAACAGAGATAACAGAAGAAGCGAGAGGCTGCTGGTGTATTCTGGGCACGGTGTCTTGTTTCCCTTCATTCCTCTTTCCCCAGTGTGAACCACACCGTGACTGTTACGTGTGGCACGGGGATTTAGTGTTGCTCCCGGAGTGGCAATACAAGATGTTCTTTAATCAGGGGTGGGGTGCTTAGGGGGTGACTCCTGTGCCGCTCCTTCTGGGGGCAGGACTATTATACTTACCATGGTACTAGTTTTCCTTACTATCATTAAACTGAAGTTACCCTTTATTACCCTCCCTCAAGTCATGCTTCCGCTTTCAGACATTCCCCCAAATGGTTACAAGGGATGTTTAAGCCTGCACCTTCATTTCCCCTTATTGTTTTACTCATGGAACATTCACTGATAGTTTTATTAGAAAAAGAGGACACACTACATTTCTAAGACTCTTAAAAGGAAAAAATAAGTATAGCAAACTGTTCGTTTTAGTTTTGGAAACTTTTGCATAAAGAAAAATCAGCCGATGACCCTTCAAGTCTGTGATGCTTGCTACTGAATTTGCATTGTGAGGAGTGTCCATCCTAAGTGTCCCGGAACCTCTCCCCATCGTCCCAGCCAGCAGAGGCCGGGGGCCTGACCAGGCGACTCAGAGTGGGGCCAGGTGACCACGTCCATGGCCGGGGATGTAAGCCAAGTGGACGCCCTCTTTCCCCTGCGTCTCCTGAGCCAACAGGTTCCAGGGGGCGGCAGCAGCAGTGTCTTCCGTGGGCCTGCAGCCACACGACATGGGCCACAGCTGATCTCCTTGGCCATCGCCTAAACCTGCTAGGTTTCCGTGCCGGGCAGCGCCCCACTTTGCTCTCAGGTGGCTGCTCTGCAGAAAGGCCTACTGAAAGACGAAGGAGTGGGACCGGATGGCGCCGTCCCGCTGGCTGAGCTGTCTCCTTATTTGTGACTGTAATAAAACACACGTGCATCTATTAGTGACTTAAGACAATATTAAATAAGGTCCTCTGATTAGTAAGGAAGCTCCTTACCACCCTCCCCTGCTTCTAATCTGATTTTTTGTGAGTACACGCTTGCATTCATCGTGGTGAGCTGGTATCTATACACGTCACATTTTTGTCCTATATTCTTCCCCTTCTCCCCTTCCCCCTCTCCCTTCACATCTAGATCCTTCTCCCATCTGCAAAAGGTCCACCTCCCTGTTTCCTGTCATCTCCTTTATTTTGCTCTTTAAATTAGCTGTACTTTGAGTTTCTTGTGTAAGAAACCATGTGTGATATTTAGCTTTCTATGTCTGATTTCTTTCATGTAACATTTTAGTTGCACCCATTTTCCCACAAATGACTTAAGTTTCCTTCTTTATGGTAGAGTAGTACTCCATTGTGTAAAAATACCATTTTCTTTATCCATTCATCCGTTGATGAATAGATACAGTCTATTTCCATGATTCAGCCATCATAAATTGTGCTACTGTAAACATGGGTATGCACGGATCACTGTAATAAGAATTCTTTTACTCTTTGGAGAATAACCCCAGAACAGGTATAACTGTGGAATGAAATTTCTATTTTTAGCTTTCTGAGGAATCTCCATACTCATTTACGTCCCAAAACAACAATGTAGAAGGGTTTTCTCCCCCAACCTTTTCAGCATTTCGTTGCTTGTTTCTTGCATTTCTCACTGGCCCAAGAAGCTCAATATTTCTCATGTACTTCTGAGAAGTATCTGTTCACTGCTCTGATCGTTACAGTTTCTTTCCTTCTGTTAAATGCAGGATTGGCTTGCTCTTGTGTCAGGACCTTGAGATGGATCATGAGGTTACTTGGGATTGCCCAGTTCTTTTACTGTGTGCATTCATAGCTATACATTTTCCTCGAAGAACTGCTTTTAGTGTATCCTATAAGTTTTGGCATGCTGTGCTTCCACTGTCATTTGATTCTAGGAACTTTTTAATTTCTTCCCTGATTTCCTCTGTGATCCACTGATTATTTGTAATGTACTGTTTGTTTGTTTGGTACTGGGAATTGAACTCATGACCTCGTGTTTGCCAGGCAGGTGTGTGCCGCTGAGCTACATCCCCGGCCCTGTAATGTGCTGTGTCGTCTCCATGTGTTTGTGTAAGTTCTGTGGTTTATTTTGCTATTGCTTTCTAGTTTTTTTCTTCTATGATCCAACAGCATAAAAGGCATTATTTCAATTCTTTTTTTATTAATTTAAGCATACTTTATGCTTGCGTTCAGGTTCCAGGCGCATAGGGATTTGTTTTCCAATTTTTCCCTTTTAGTCTGTGAACTTCCATTTGAATGACATGTGTCTCTTGTAGGCAGTATATGACTGATTTTGTTTTTCAATCCAGTCTCCGTCTGTGTCTTTTGACTGAGGATTTAAGACTGCTGACGGTGACAGTTACTATTGTAAGGTGTTATGTTTCCAGTGCTGATTCCTTTATCTATTAATTTTTGTTTACTTGTTCTCCCAGGTAGATGTATACTTTCTTCGGACTCTTTGGTGGCCACTGTTAATGGTGGTCTCCCTGCTTCTGTCTAGGATCCCCTTGAGTATTTTCCCCAGTGCTGGTTTAGTGGTCATTTTATGTTTTTAGGATTTCTTTCTTATGGAAAATCCTTACTTTGTCAGTTTTGAAGAAGGCTCATTTTGAAGGATATAGAGATCTTGTCTGACAATTATGTTCTTTTAGGGCTTTCAAAATTGTGCTCCAGCCTCTCCCAGTCCTTAAAGCTTGTGCTGAGGAATCCACGGTAACTCTAATAAGCTCACTTTATGAGTAACTTGCTATTTCTCTAACAGCTTTCAATATTTTCCTTCTCATTGAATTTCTGGAATTTTGTGTGTGGTGTGTTATGGGGAGGTTCTTTTATGGTCATGGCTATTTTGGGTTTTATGTCTGCTGTATGTGAATATCAAATTCTTTCTCTAAGTCTGGGAAATTTTGTGCTATGATTTTAGTGAATGAATTATTTTGTACCTTTAGGTTCATCTTTTAATTTTTCTTTCTTTTCTTTAATTCTGATGTTAGGTTTTATGTTTTGTTTTGTTTTTAGTCGTCTAACAGCTGTTGGATCTAGCTTGCACACTGCCTTATTTTTAGGGCATAGTGAGTTTATGAGCAACTGCATCCAGTTGGTCTTTAATTTCTGGCACTCTGTCTTCATATTGGCCAAATCTGCTAGCCATGCTTTCCACTGAATTTTTCATACCTTGTGTTTGTGCTTGCTTTCATAATTTCTAATCTTCTTTGCCAAATGCTCATTCTTACCTTATATGGTTTTCTTTAACACATTTAGTTTATGTCTTTAAGGTCTTTTTTCTGTGAACTCCTCTTCCAGCTCACGTCCTGTGAAATTGCTTACGCGTTTCCTCTGAGCCCTCGCCTGGTGAGTTCTTCCACATCACTGTCTGTGAGATCAGCTCCTTTGGAGGGCTGTTTTGCAGAATCTTGTTACCTTGCTTTCTGATGTGTCTTTTGTCCGGCTGAAGATCAGTTAGGGTAGAGAAACTCTGTCCTTTTAATTAGACTTGGTCTCCCTTGACGTGTGCTTGTGCGTGGTTGTTCGGTGTTTGCACTGTTCATCTGTCTCCTCAGTGTACGTGTCAGGGTGTTCAAGGGCCCAGCTTTCTTCTGGGGCTGTGTTTATGGAGACAGGATCCCTCTCCACAAGCCGGAGCTGGCATTCCAAACCGTTCTGCTCTTTTCTCTGTGCTGTACCTGAGTAGTTACTCTGTGATTTCTAGTCTTCCCGTCGATTCTTTCTTTTCCTCTTTGCTAAGTTCTTGTTTGCCAGGGATCTGGATTCCACGACCTGGAGAGACTGTGATATGCTGCTGGTCTTCACACCGAATTTGTTTTTAAATATTTTTTATACAAAAATGAATCTAAAGGTGTGTCCATTTCTTCTTACTTTCTTATTTCTTCTTACTCCTTGAGTATTTTCTGCAGTGCTGGTTTAGTGGTCATTTTACTTTTTTAGAATTTCTTATTTCTTCTTTCTTTAACTTTTCTGTTTATGTTATTTAATTATGAAACAGAATGAGAAATTATATCTAACAAGGTTTCATATGGAGAAGTATTTTCTCACTGAATGAATGTCAAAGGCACTGGAACAATCTCAGAATGAGTGGTATATTAATTTGTATTTCAAACCAAAAAGACTACTGAGTATCTAGAAGAAATATTCGACAAGATTCTGAGGCTTCTTCCCTGCTTTGGGGAGGAAGAGCATGACCCCAAGACCTCCTACCACCACTGAGCTTCACCTCCAGCCCTAACAGTCTCCCTTCTGAGAACATACAAGTATAACAGAAAACTTCACCAAAAATAACTAGGAAAAAGATGCTTCCCTTTTGAAACTATTAAGGGTTTCACAGTGCCAAGCCGTGTTTAGATACATTTGACTGTCAACCCCAAGGTCCCCACGTGAAGCCTAGTCCCCAGCTGGGGTACCGGCAGGTGACCTGGAAGGGATGCTGATGTCCAGGACTATACACTCAAGAAAGAACATAGTTGAAATCCTAAGCCTGCCTGACCCACAGTCTGGCTTCTGGCTTGGGAATGTGACTTCTATCTCAAGCATCCGTTTTTTGCCAGAGCCAGGATAACACCACTGCTATGCCATCAAATCTCTGAATTCAGAAGTAGATAAGCTTCTTTTCTTCATGAGAAACTTGCCTCAGGTATTTTGTTATAGCAATGGAAAACAACTAATACACAGTATTTATAGATAGTAAACATTATGGACAAATTCTTGGTTAGCAACTCACTAACTTCAAACACATAAAAAAATGAATGAGATGGTAAAGGAGACGTAAACACTCTAGCTTCTTCCTGAGTGATTTACAGAAAACAGAGCAAATCAACCACCTGCAGCCTTGGGCCCTACGGAGTGCTGCTTAGTCTGGAAACTAAGCTAAGTTCTCCTGGCAATCATTCTTCCCTGACAACTTAAAGGCTTTCAACTGAAGGAATCTGTCTGTTTTCCTCTGTGACAGCCTGGTCCTGGTGCCCCCTCCAGACAGATCTGGACCAACCCATGTACCTCAAAGGAAGACTGGCAGGTGCTCAGGCCAGAGGCTGAGATCTGAACACCCAGCCTCCCTGTCTGATTACAATGCTGGCTTCAGCTCTCTTTATGTCCCAAAAGAATGAACAGGCTACTCCCCAGCCCTAAAAATGCCAGCTCGTGATTCATGGAGTTGGTCTAATTAGAAATATGAAATATCTCAGAAATATGTCTGAATTATCAGGGTGTTAGTCTCAAGACCAGACATTTGAAAACTTATGACTCACCAGTTTCCATCGCAATATCTTGATCCATTCGTCAGCTTCCACTCCTGTCTTCGCACAGAGATAAAATGTCCTGAATGGAAATACTAAGCTGACAAGACAAGAGAGAGAATGGAAGGGGCTTCAGATGAACGGAACACTGATCAGGGTGTCCCCAGCGAAAGCCACTTAAATAGCCTCCAGGTAAGTAGTAACTTGAATTGGCATATACAGTAAAACTGTAGAAATGTCTAGGAAATCCTAGCCTCCTGGTATTATGAGCAAGATTTATGTGCTCTAGTTAGACTTCAAGAAGAAAAGAGCAAACACAGGACACTCCTGTGTTCTTTATGAATATGTCTTAGGGTGAGGACCACACTTACATGTTTATTGAGCTGAACTCTCAGACAATTCAGAACTCGAGCTATGATACAAAGGCTACACAAGCCAGAGAGGGCAGTTTTTGGAAGGAACTCACTGGTGCTCAAGTCCCCAAGGCCAAGGCTGCCTTCCCAGAAGCAGGCAGCTAAGCAGTGAACCAAGGATAAAGTCCTCAGCGATCACTTGGCACATTTCTGGCTGTGGGAGGAAAGTGAACGTTCCTACTGGCATAAAGGGCTTTTCTCATTACATGGCATCTTGTCACGACCTCTGGTCACAGGTCAGAATCACGAGGGACAGGGCGGGAGCAGCTCCACCCTGAACGCTCTTCTTAGGCAGAGCACTCAGTCTTTTTCCCTTAACTAAAACTCGGAGGTTCAGAAGGGTTTCTATTACTGTGAAGTCTAAGCAGTACTCGTGTTGGCCCCAGCCAGTGCCAGCAGGTAAGCAGAAGGCCAGCGTGGGGAAGGCAAGGCCTTGAGGCCCGAGGCATCAGGGACGAGGAGCCCACCTGGGCAGCATGCTGCCAACGCCAGGACACAGCTCGCTGTCCCTTAGCACAGGTAAGTCTCCCTGTCTTGTTAACAGACTCCCAGGCAAGAGCCACTAAGGTCACTGTCCCAACCTCCCTGCTCCTGGGGACAGCGCCCCAACTCAGTCATAGTCTGCGGGCGCAAGGTAAGATTTAAGGGCGTTCCAGGAAACCCCAGTCCTCCTGCAGAGGAATGGGTGCAGCTGGCACCTTGCCTATATCTTCCTGGAGCCGGGACTCGGGGCCTGAGCCTGGCCTGAGCGGCCCTTGGACCTGCGGGACCGGGGAGGGGGTCGCTGGAGGGGGCTGCTGGGGAGCCTGGCCTTGGGCTCCCTGTCCTGGGGGAATGTGAGCATCTGTGGCTCGGCTCGCAGGGCGCCCCCGGGGGTTTCCCGGGGCGTAGCAATGACCCTGCCTTGCACAGCTGATGCTGACTCACTCGGGGAGCACCAAGCCCAGAAGTGACGTTTGCAACCCGCTTTGACTGACTCAGAAAGCAGCAGGCCGACCCCTAAACACACAAACACACTGGCGCGCCTCGGGGAGGAGTATTTCTCCCAACTCTCTGTGCCTGCAAGACTAAAAGTCGATGGGAAACGCGACATGGCTTTCCCACAACACTTCGCTTCCACGGGTCAAAGGGCTGCACGATGTACTGACAGTGTTTGCACAAAACCCTTTTGTGCCATCTGCCAGAAGTCGCTGCAACACTATAAATCGGCCTCAATTGGAATAAAAAGAATTATAACTAAATGAGGCGGAGCTCAAAGTGGCAGGGCTCTCTGAATGGCAGCACGCGTGGCCTGCAGGTGCGCGTGGCCTTTCCACGCCTTGTGCAGCACCGTTTCCACGCTGGCCCCACGTGGGCAGACACCCAGACGCGCAGCTTAGCCTGAGCCCAAAAAAGATATGGCAAATCTTTTATCAAATCAACTTACCAAAAGCAGTTCACCTTTTCCTGCGAATAATCAAATTGGACAGCAGAACACTCGGTGAGATCTAGGATCCGAATGGGTTCTGGTGACTGAAAGGGGAAAAGAAGCAACCTGTCATCCTAAAAAGAAACACGCCGGTGTGCCATCTGTGCCCTGACAAGCCTTCCACCGGGTGAGACTGTCACGCAGAGCCCTGGGGCTGGAAAAGCTCAGGAAGGGAGGTCTCGCCTGCGCCTGTGGAAATCAGCCTTTCAGGACTCGCCTCCCTCAGCTCGCGTCAGATGGCGGTGGATTGAGTCGGGGAAGGCATCCTTCTCTCTTATCTATTCTAACTTTTACTTTCTCAGAGAGTTTGTATAAAGAAAGTGAGAAGAAATGAAATACTTTCAGTTGGCGTGATAAAACGGGCCCGGGACATAGGTATATCTTTAAGAAAGGGGGAAATTGCTGCAGAAGGATAGTTAATATATTGTGGTAAAATAAAGTCCATCCCCCTAAGCAGAAGGAATTAGGTGACCCGGAAAGCTGAGTCAGTTAGCCTAAGAGGCAGCTTCAGGGATATATTCCTCCCATGAGTTCTGCTCATGGGAGGAATTAGAAACTCACATGTCCAGTAATATATTCTTTCAAGCAGATGTAAGGAAAATCCGATTTTAAAGGCAGATGCTTCTTAGTGGCCTGTATGTCCATCGGCCATTGAATAGGTTAAAAAATGTGGTATATATACATGAGTACTACTCAGCCATAAAGAATGATAAACTCGAGCCATTTGTAGGAAAATGAATGCAGTTTGAGGCCACAATGTTAAATGAGATAAATCAGATACAAAAGGTTAAACATTGCACGGTTTCTCTTATAGGAGGAACCCGAAGTATAAATAAAGAATAAAATAAAATATAGGTAATAGGAAGCCAGGAGATAGATGTTTTGCAAACGGTAAAGGGACCAAGAGATGGAGGGAGGGGGGTCAGGAAAGAGAAGGGAGAGCTAAGGAACTGAGGTGCATTATTACATGCCCACGCTCCCAAGAGAAACGCAGACATTATGTACCATAGACTAGACTATAAAAAATTAAAGTTTGTTTTTAAAAAGCAAATGTGATTTTCATCTTAAAAGCTAATTTGAAGGAGAAAATGCAGGGTCCCATTCCTTACCATCTGGTCTTTGAAGTATTTCAGTTCATTTCTGTGCAAAGTGAACCATCTTGTTTTCCAGGTCTGAGAAAAAAGTTTGAAACACATAGGTTTTGAATACAAGAATGCAATATTTACTTTTGTTTTTAAAGTACCTAAAAGATTAGACAAAATAAGTCTGAAAATACTTTTTTCAGATTTCAAGGTATCTACAAAAATTGAAATGATGCCACACATTAAGTTTGTAATAGTGGCAGAAATGGTGTTAATTAGCTCTTTTAAACAAAAAGACACAGCCTGTCATAAACATTCAAGTGATTTATAGCAAATCACCATAGTTTCTACTTTGTTAGCTTTATAATAAAAATAGGTGTCAGTTCTGAGCACCTACTGGGAGCTACATACTCTACTTGGAAATATGTTTTTATATATTTATATGCATTCTTGGAAGTACTTTTATAATTTACTTCGTTTACACAAGTGATAGCCAGTCCTCACATAACCATGCCAAATGTTAGTTTAGTCTTACAAATACATCCACGTGCACTGACTTCTAACGCTTGCTGAAGACTCACAGTGCATGGCACAAGCCCAGTCACCTGTGGTCACCAGGGTACCAGCAGAGCCTGATCCACCCTGGGGGCAGTGTGCTGGCTTCTAAGGGGCAATGGGGATCTGAGTCGTGCACACTGTGGAAGAGAGTGCTCCCTGTCCCTGGAGAGACTCAGCATGGTGGGGCCTGGGATAACTAATCCCTAGGTGGGACTCGAGTGCAGGGGGCACGCCGAGTCCAGAGCCCTAAGCCAGGAGGAGTCCACAGCCCATGGAGATGAGACAGGCACTCCAGGGTCAGCTGAGGGTGGGGGGCTGGACGTGCTGGGTTTGCATGTTTTCCTCAGGATCTGACGGCTTCATTTCACCTGCGTCAGGCACATTTCTGGCCAACCTGTAAGCTCACGTTTTGTATAATCCTGACTGCTTTGTTTAAAAGGAAAAGGGGACGGGACAGATGGCTCTCACGTGGACTCACTGTTTGGGCTTCAGCTTCCCTCACTGTCTTGTGTGTCCTTCCTGCTGCGGGCACCTCTGCAGAGCTCTGCCCAAGAATGGGTCACACTGCTTTCCTGGGCGCTGACTAAGCGTCATAAAAGGAACTCTCGAAATAGAAACATTTTCTAAGTAGGTCGAAATGAGTTGGCAGTAATGCTTTTAACAGAAACACTGTCCGTGGGAGGATAAACGTGTGCTGCTCACCTTGACCAGGCCGCCTTGCTTGGTGAGGTAGCCCTCCTTGGTGCCCAGCTGCAAAAGAAAGAAGCCCCATGAGCCCAGCGTGGCCACAGTGTAACATCTGCCTGGCAAGGGAGAGCAAAGTGGCCTCAATTATTCCAGGACTGGCTCCATTCTTCACTGGGCCCTGGCACCACTCGAGGCCTGGAACACTGTCCATGGGTCCTCTGCTGTCCTTCTGCACCGATGGCCATGGCAGAAGGGCTCCAACCTGACCACATAGAGCAGTCTTCAGACAGTGGACTGCGCCACCCCTCTGAGGTCTACGTCTGTGAAATTGCTGTGCATGAGCAGCAGCTTGACAGGTGCAGGGGCCAGCGTGCCTCAGCCTCCCATCCACAATCCTGGACCCAGCCGCCCAAGGGGAGGGAGTGTGTGAAAAAAGCAATTCTGAAGATGCACAGATGTGTTTTGTCACTGCGCCTTAAATAATGCAGCACCGTCCCGGGCTGCACCACCCTGACAGGGCGTCCAGTGTCACATGGTCCCTGAGAGGAGCCTGCAAGGGCTGAGACATGGTACACAGGGACCTGGGCACTGAGGATTGGCACTGCAGATGCCAAGGTGCTCTGTTTTTGGAGAGCTAGATTAAGGGAACAGAAAGGATCCTGTCACCTTGGTGAGTCCCAGAGCTGCACTGGGCAAAATGTCCTGCAGTTTCTAGAGGGTCCTCAGAAAGGGGCAGCCCCTCCCTTCCTCACAAACATGGTTCTCAGAATCCAGATTCCACAGAACAGAGGCCAAGGGTGCAGATTCACCCACATCTCTTGAGGGCAGCGACCAGTTTTTCTAAGCAATCACAGTGGCAGGACCATGAAGACAAGCAGGTGGAGGCTGCATGAGGGGAAAGTGTCATGTGACAAGGAGCCTAAGGTCCAGAGGAGAAAAATAACCCAGCTATCCCCCTTCTGAGTGTCTTCCCAGAAGAATTACAAACATCATCCCTCAGTGATATATGTGTACCCGCGCTTATAGCAGCACAGTTTGAATAGCCAGATCTTGGAAACCACCTAAATGCCCACTGACTGAGGAAAGGATACAAAAGATGTGGTATTTTTATACAATGCAGTGCTACTCAGCCGTAAGGATACACTGGAGACTTTATAGGTAAATGGATGGAACCTGAGACCGTACTCACTAGTGAAATAAGACCCACCGTACACATCGCATTGTCTCAGTGTGAGAAGCCGAAAGAAACAACATATGCATATATGCATGTATATGTACAACAAAATAGTTAAGATAGTTGTACTATTAAAAAAAAGCTGGCAGATATTTTTAAAAAATGGAAGTAAATAACCTCACAGATGTCTGAGGAGAACAAATTCCAGGTAGGGTGTTTTATTCTGATATGATCTCATAACACGCCGTATGTCAATAAGGAGAAATGAATAAAAACTGGGAAATGACTTGGGTGGCGTCGGGGTGGCGGGAGTTTCCAGAGTGTTTTTCTGCCTGAAGCAAACGCTCCCTACCAGTAAGAAGGGGAACCGCTGCTGCTTCGAGGAGACTGAGCAGGAAGTGGCACAGAGGCCCACACAGCCGGGACAGGAAGGTCGCAGCCGCCCAGGTGCGCGCGTCTTGGTGACCAGTCACAGATCAGCTTCATCCACTGTGGTGCTGAAGCACTTGGATGCACTGAACTGAGTTTAAGTACCAAGTAACAGCAATGACAAAATTGTCCTGCTGGATTGCTGAGGTTAAGTCTACGGAGAAGCAATCATTCAGAGCAATCAGTTAAGCAGAAGCCCTGGGAAAGTGATTCACGGAAGTCAAGCTGAGCAGAAACACTCACGCTCAGACCCCACGCGGTGAGAGGCTGCAGGTTAGGGTTAGGAATTTTGTGCGGTTCTGGTGCCTAGAAGGATATGAGAGGAAGTGCTGAGAATACTCATTTTATCCAGGATCTCAGGATGTAAGCAATAAAATAATTAGATACAAATTCATCTTCCCATAACTGTGTGAGTCCATCGGTAAGAGTTCAGGCAGGGGACAGGCCTCCTCTCCTGTGGCTGCCTCTGCCGTGGCTGAAAGCCAGTAGGTAGGTAAGGGAGGCATGGAGGGTATTATTGGTGTGAGGAGCCATCCACCTGGATGGTACCGCTGCAGGAACAGGGGTGGCAGCAGCAGGGTGGCGGCAGGAGGCCGGAGGTAGCTCGCTCCGGGGCAGTGTGCCAGGGGGGCGCAGCCCGGGGCAGCAGGCGGCAGGCAGGGGCAGAGACCTGAGCCTGCTCCCATTCAGCTGGTCTGGAAGCACACGTGATTGGGCGGCGGGGCTGTGAGCCTCACAAAAACAGAAAGGGGGAACCAGAATGAGCCTCGTGGCACTGGATGAGGCTGGGGTGAAGGTGTGCGCCAATGAGGTGCGGGCAGAGGGACAGATAGGCAGATGAATCCATAGACAGATAGACCAACAGATAGACAGACAGACAGGCAGGCATAACACAAGCATAAGTGTGGGCCCCTGTGCAGCTGCATGAATGTTTTCCCTGACCCTGTTCACTGACTGAGTAGGATGGTGACACTCCAGTACAAATAAGTACATGGTGCTCAGGTGCTAATGCCTAAAGTGCCACTTTTTAGAAAAAAAAAAAAAAAGAGCAAGATTTCTTGGAGAAATAGGTGATTCCAGAATTGGGCACAGGAAAACACAAGAAAGCTCAGAACATCTTGTTCCATCAGAAAATAAGGACATCATGAAAGCTTTGTAGGGACACAGCTCCCACTGGCCAAGTATGTGACAGTTTGAAAAATCAGAATAAATAACAATAGCCATGACTACAACCCACTGTTACAAAAATAAAAGCGTGGATAGGTGTTGACGATCAAAAGCTTTTCCTTCCTGTGGATGACAACAAACACACACAGAGGGACAGGAGAACCGGAGGCTGCTGCCAGCAACCCTGGTAAGGTCCAAAGTGGCGAAGACACCTCCGTAACCGCCAATACCACGGGCAAACCTCCACAGGGAGCAGGCCACATAGGAGGTCTCCAGGAGCTTCCCCAAGAACTGACAGGGAGGACACGGGACCCTCTGTGGAGCAACTCAGCACCTAGATGCCACACTGGGACAAACTGCACCCGGGCCAGGTCAGCACTGTCCACGGTGAGTGGACATCTCCAGGCCTTTTTATGCTCCACTCTGGGAGCCAGGACACTGCCTGGGGACCCGGCCCAAGCACCACTGTTCTGAAGACTGGCCCTGCAGTGACAAGCTGTGCTGTTGCTGACCAGAAGTCTTTCAGCAGGTGAGCTGACAGGTGGCTATGGGGTGAGGTCCCCAACTGACTGTCCCCACCCTTGGCACCAAGATGGTGGTGTCCCAAAGCACGGTGAAGGCAGACACTCACGCATACCACTCTTGGGACCCCACCCTGCACCCTTCTCCGAGGGCCCCACTCCCTTGGCCCTGGTCCTCACAGCCTCACTGCACTGCCCTGCCCATCCCCAGGCACACAGCCCTCCTAGCCGGCCCTGAAGCACTCAGGAGTCCCTTACTGGGTGTCCACATCACCATTCGTGAGTCTCCACATAAACACTACCCCCTCAGCTGGCTTGAGATGGTGCTTGACACACCAGCGTCACCAGCAACACCAGACGGGTTGATGGTCTTACCTGGAAGCACAGTGCGTGTGCATGTGAGTGTGCATGTGTGTGTGTGTGTGTTTGCACCCAAACTCTGTACTTTTCTGATTTACCCTGGAGTACATGACCTGAGCTGCAGCTTCGAGCGCTGTGTCTTCTCCAAATTTTGTGTCCCAAGCTACTTTAACCCTCCCTGCATTTGGACAGGGACACAGCCTGCAGCCAGAGTGCCGGTCACTTACAGAAGGTGCGGCAGGCACGAGGTCACTCTCTGTCCTCCCTGTCTGCATCGCCGTGTGAACCCGAACGGACTCGTAGATGGCAGGCTCCTCCACGTCCCTGGGATAGGGATGTTTCAGCACGATCAGGGTGCCTGCATGGAGACAAGAGGTGTCATTAATGCCCTGAAGGGGATGGGTGGCTGCTGAAGAGCCTCACGGCTCTGTGCACTCTCTTTTTCATGCCCAGAGCTGTGCAGTGGAACCTCAGCTGGGCACTGGACATTGACAAGTCCTCCTCCCTTGTGACTGGAGTCTCAGTGGACACGGTCACCTGAATGAGGGTATGAGATCCATCGCAGTCAAGGGAACACAGCCCGAACAGGACCAGGGCCAGAGACATCGGGACACTTCCACCCAGAGGCAGCCTGAGCCTGGACCTTGCACAGTGGCTGGCAGGTTTCCAGGTGGCTTTGCAAATCCGCCGGAAACCAAGCCATGGAGATGCACACAGGCCAGGAGGACCCATGCCTGCTTCTCCTTCCTCGGGCTGGAGAGCAAGCCACAAGAGACTCTCACAGCATGGGACACCTTCACCCTCACTCTGCCCCCGCACTCCAGGAAGCGGAAGGGGGCTTTGCTATTCTTCCTGAGCACGGGGTGTGGGACTGATCTCCCCACCCCCACCTCCACCTCTGCCTCCATCTCCAGGAGGATCTCCTTCCCTCTGTCAATCAATCAGAAACTAGAAACTCTGCCTACAAGAAGAGCAAGCATGAGGGGCTTTCCTCCTTGGTACAGCTTCCTGCTTTTTATTTCACCAGGTGTTTGCCAAGCAGATCCAGGACTGCGTTAGCTGTGGCAGCAAAGTGAGAACTCAGTCAGCACACAGCCCAGGGCTCTGCCAGGTGAGGTGTGAGGAGGAATGAACAGCGTGAGGCCCGAGAGGACCTCACGGGGAGTCACCTGGGAAAGGCAGCTTGAGAGGTCCTAGGAAGCACAGACACCTTTTGTGCCTGACAGCCTCGCACTGACAGCAAATCTGCACAGGACACCACATGGTGTGAGAGCACAGGGCCAGGCCACGGCTGTGAGCGTGAAATAGCAGCTGTTGGCCGAAGCCCCGGCCCATAGCAGCCTCTGAGGGGCAGCTGCTGCATCCACCCGGGCGCCTCCTGGTGCCCGAGCCCATGCCACAGTGGCCCCAGACAGATCCCAGACACACAGAAGAGGAGAGGGCTGGATGGCCAGCCACAGCCCGTGTAGGACCTGGCCCGGATGCTGTCTTCCCAGGCTGCCGAAGCCCAGAGGAAGTGGGGAGCAGATAAGCGGGAGGTGGTGTTTCCTCTTGGGACAGAGCATTTTCAGATCCCCACGACTGCTCCCCCAAGGACATAGAATAAGATGCTAAGTTACAGTAGACCCAGGTACCACATTCTGCTGGAACAGGGCTGGTGCCATTCACCACCAGCAATGACACAGACCCCGAAGGGGATGAAGGGGAACGGCACCCTTCTGGGCAGCCCGGAGATCGAGGAGGCTTTCAAGTCTCAGGCCCTGTCTTCAGAGTCAATGCTGAGTGCCCCTGGTGTTCCTCGAGGTGCCTTGAATATGCTTCAGATGACCTGGGGACGGACCGGCATTCCTGCCACTCAGGGCAAACTGCTGTGGAGCTGGTGGCTTGGAACAAATCTGCTGTGGCTTCGAGGAGTCCTGGACGCTGCAGTCCAGTCTGGGCTGCCCTTGTCTAACCGGGCATGAGCAGGGCTGCTCTCTCTGCACGCTGTGCTGCAGTCAGGCCTCGCTGGGACCTGTGGCACTTTCCTGCCACCTTTGAAGCCCTGTTGGGGCTTCCCTCTGGTTCCCTCTTTGCCTTGACTGTCACCCCAGGAACCTTGTGATCACCATGGCCCTGACTCCCCAGAGCCTCTGACCCCAGCCTTCTTTCCACATGCAAAGCCGATGCCCTTCTGCAGTACGACATCGCAGGCACAGGTCCACGAGGAGCTGTGCTGATTTATTTGCGGCCTGTAGTTGTAGTCTTTGTGGGACAGGTGTGTGGCAGGGGTCACCAGCAGGCCACCGTGTTTCCCCTCAGAGCTCTGCAGGCCCCTTCTGAGTGGGCCTGGGGTCAGCTTTGTCTTTGTTTACCTCCCCACAGCTAAGAACCTCTGACACAACACGCGAAGGCCTAATGAGTGAATGAACCAATGGATGAACAAATGCTACAGCAACTCAAGTCCATCTCAGTCTCCCTGGCCACAGCCACCCTGGCTTGGGAATGCACAGGGGACAGGATGAGCTTAGGCCTCAATCTTCAAGTCTGGTCAGAAGGGAAAATCTAGATGTAATTTGAAATTTCTCCAATGTAATCCATTAGTTGGGCTGGGAGAACAGAGCTGACTGCAGGTTTGATTGTTCAAGTCTCAAAGCCAGGCAGGTGGCCAGACTCAGGGGGTAAAGGGAACAGAAGTGACCAGTAAAGGGGGAGCACCCAGGGAAGGGCACCTGGTGCCTGGAAGACAGGCCTCCTCGGCCGGCCATTCCTGCTCTAGGAAGAGCCAATTTCGGCTGCTTTGGTGCCATTACCAGGTGATCACAGCTACCCTGCAGGAGACAATTGCAGTCCAGGACACTAGGACAGTGCCCAGGGCCGGGGCCCTCACCATGACCTCAAACACAGGTCCCACCACACGGGTTCCCCACCTGCCTGCACACAGCTGCTTCGTGGAGAGAAGCCCACCAGCTCTCACGTGTGCACTGCCGGCGTGGATAGTCAGTTCCTGCCTTTGACTAGAACCTGGTCTCAGAAATGCTCCACGGGACACTTCGAGATAGCAGAAATGGACCAAGTCAGGCTTTTTCAATGTACCAGAAGCCTTCAGGTTGCCACACTTACCGAGCAGCTTCTTTATCTTTGCTCGATTGTTTACCTGCTCTTAGACTGTGGGAGGGCATATTCATATCTTCCTAAACAATTTCACTTCTCACGTACTCGTTTTTGTTTTTAATTCAGTAAGCCAGAGTCAGTTTCTGTATTTGCAACCAAAAGGAAAGTCTCTACTGTGGCCACCACAGACTCATAACTTCCACCCTGGCTTACACGGCCTTGGGCCCCCGGAGGGGAATCCTGGGTCAGAGGCATCGCTCTAGTGAGCTCCAGGAGCAGAGGAAGGAGGACAGGAAGCAGGGCTGGGAGAGGAAGCGGAGGACAGAGCATCGCACCCTGGCCTTGGAACAGGGCCGCGTGTGAGTTTCAGTTCAGCTTCTGAGCTGCCTGAAGGCAGCCGTGTTTCCTGCCTCTGCCTTGAAGCCTGGTTCCATCTGTGCTCTCTGGGGGCCCATGTTTTTGAGGAGCAAAGCCAGCCTGAGGTGGACACCCCACGGCTGCATCTGAATGAGTGCTCGGGACTCCGCCTGCCATGGTGCCCGGATCACTGCGGATGCCCACCTGTCTTTGGCAGGAACCAGGGAAAGACACGGGGACATCTTGGAGGCTGAGAGTGGGGTGCACGTGGCTCCCAGGGGAGGACTCTGCTGAACTCTTTCTTGAGGGCTGGAGCTGGTGCTGCCTGCACCCACCCACCCTCGGGGCACAGGAAGATGCTGGGGCCGCACAGGGCTGCTTCTGCTCAGCATCACGGCTGCCCACAGTGCCGGGGCCGGCCGGTGCCCAGCACTATGTACTGAGGGGAAGACCACGCTGTCGCCGTTTTATTGCTGGCCTCAGGCTCAGAAAAGGAGTCTGCAACTGCCTCAGGGGTTCCGTGCCCTCCTGACCTGGGAAGTGGCTCTCTGCGGGCCTCTGAGAACAACCCCTCTGCCTCCTTCCTTCATTGACAGTCACTCTGCCGATGGCCTGTAACCCCTGCCTGCTCCCCTGAGGGCTTCAGGGCTCAATCTCCAGCCTCACAGGGAAAACTGAGTCTCACAGCGCACCTGAGCCTGCTCCGTCATCCACAGAGCACCTGAGGAGAGAGCAGACCAGCAGCCAGGGCTGGAGACTGCTCTACAATTCAGTCGGTCGAGGGACAGGGAGGAAACAGCAGGCAGCAGGCAGCCGGGAAGTGGCAATTTTACATCATCGGCTCAAGACCACCGCGGCTGTCAGACACAGTGCCTTTCCCAGGCTCAGCTCTCCTTCACGCTCTCCCCAAAAATCCCTGAGAGGCTTAAATATGTCCCCAACTCTGTATATCTGGGCTGCAAATCCATGAATTTCAGGGACTCTTCCATCCTTAAAGAGACTGAGAACCATGTTGCCAAATTCAAGCACATGCAGACAGTTGGTATTTCATCTGTGCTGGCCAATCCTGGTCCTCGGGTGGCCCCTGGACAAGAGCTACTCTCAGGAAGCGGACTCCAACTGAATGACAAACAGCAGCACAAGTCCCCGGTCTTAGGCCTTAGGGCAGCAGGGGACATGTGAATACGCCAGACCACACCATCAACACCTCAAGGCGACCTACATAAGCACCCAAGACCCCCTCTCTAGTGATGCCCCAAGGCCACATCCCCCCGCCCCCCGCCCGCCCGGTTCACACCATTAACACTCTGAGACACACTCGTATCCCGGGGACCACGCTGTGCCTCACCCCCGTGCCTGACCCCCTCCTGAGTCTGTCCGTCTTTGATTCTGCCTAATAAACCTGTTTGTGGCTCTCCCTGAGCCAGCCTGAAATTCTTTTTGGGATGAGAGTCAGGAACTCAGGCCAGGGCATGTGGAGGTCACTGTGTCCTCCAGGGCGAACTTCCTCAGACCCCTTCTGTGGCAGGCTCACTCTCTTTGGAGTGGTCCTTAATTCTGCCCCTCTGTGGGACTGGCCAAGAAGGACATCACCACCTTCTGATGATCACATATTCTGCTGTCCCCAAAGGACAGTCCATGACTGCAAAGAGCTTCTGGCTCTTTCCTGGAACCCGATGGGCTTCATCACAATCATGACAACAGAGCTCTGAAGCCATGCCAAGAACCATGCCAAGACCTCAGTCAGTCACCACAGCAAGGCATCACAGCGCAGATGCCTAGCAGCACTCGGTTAGCTAAGAACACAAAACTGAGCTTAGAGAGGCTGATAACCTGACTGAGGATGCACAACTGGCAGAGTGCGTCCTCATGTGCCGTGAACTCCAGGGTCATTCATGGCGCCACACATGGATTCTCTAGAGTCCCTGAAAAGCCACGCTGTCTCACCATGGGGTCTGCAGACACGGACCCTCTGGAGCCGCGAGACCTTGCTCTCCTGGCCTTTCTCACCAGGCCTCAGTTTCTTCTGCTGAGAGGCAGAACTGAGTCGGCCCCAGCTTCCCCCAGTTCCACAGGCTTGGAGATCTGGTTAAATCTGCTGACCCGAGTCAGGGGGAAGCAAGGCCTTTTCCTGTGCATACCAAGCTCCCATCTCTGCCCCTCACTCCTCCCCCTGGTGTGCACCGGGCCTCCCTGCATCCACGCAGGCTCCTGGACATCCGTGCACACATCGGGCCTGTGTGTTCTGATGTCTTCTGGTGCACTTTCTCCAAGGTAATTCTGTGACTTGGGTTGGAAGAATGATAATAGAGGGACAGAGTTCAGATGGTCCTCGCTCCACAGAATACACACCGAGCCACTCTGACTGTGTGGAAGACGAGGGTGAAGTGGAGCTTGGCCTGTGCCCCTCCATATCCCACAGGCTGTCACATTATGGGGCAGATTCCAGTCAGGCAAATCTGCAGAGGCCCCACTGCTCCACGACACATGGTCCTGTGCGGTCAGCGTGGCCCAGCTGTGGGTGACAGGAGAAGCTCGGCCCAGGTTCCGGATGTGCTGCCTCGGGAAGGAGCTTATGCCTCTGGCTTCCCCATGGAAGGGGAGAGCACGCGCAGTGTCTCAGGCATCTGAGGAGTTAATCTGCTATCTGTGAGGACATCGGATGTGGCTGGGACTCGGCCAACACCCACGACATCAGTTCGCTTCTAGTCCCCACTTCTCTGTTTTCTTTTTCAAATGCACCTTGTACAAACCAGGAGCTTCCACCTTCAGCAGGCGCAAGGCAAAGCCACTCCTGGCTGTGGCGGGGCAGCATTCTGTGTGGTCACTCATTTGCAGAAGTGCCTCATAGTTCTTTTAAAATGCCACCTGAGTACCATAGCTGGTGTCTTAAGAGAAAGTAGTAATAGCTGTAGCCACTATGAAACATTGGGAATCCCCACGTCAACACAAAAAGAGAAGCAGAAACTTGGCATTATCGAGGGCACCAGATAGGATCCTAGACCTGAGGTAGCTGCTCCAGTGGGCAAACACTCTGGACAGCACGCGCTTCCCTGGGTTAGCTGGCTGCAGTCATCACACTGAGTTGCACAGGACAGTTTCACATAACCAAGTATAGAAATGTGAAGAGAAGATGATGCTTGCTTTCACATATCGGTATTGGTATTTTGCTATGGAGCCCAGGCTGGCCTTGAACTCTTGGCTATCCTCCTTCTTCAGCCTCTGGAGTGCTGGAATTACATGTGGGTGTCACCATGTCTAGCTTACTTCACCATCTCAGATCTTACTATCACTCAGGATAAGTATTCAGGTTTCATGATACTTGTTATGGCTTGTGTCTAGATGTCACTGCAAAGCCTCACGCAGTCGTGAGTGGGGACTCTCTAGAGGTGACTAGATCTAGAGTGTGTGATTAGCAAATTATTCCACTGATTGATGTGACACAGTTGTGGCAAGGATTAGGGGTGTCAGTGTTTTATCTACCCTAGGGGGACCCTGCATACAACGTAAGAGACAAGGAGAGGATTGTCTGGTGCCTTGCTTGCATGTCCCTTCCACTGCCTTGAACTGTTCTCCTCCGCGATGTCACCCTGTCTTGGAGCCAGGCAATTGTGGACTAAAACCTGTCAAATTGTGAGTGAAATAAACCTTTCTTCTTTTAACTTCAGGTGTTAGATATTCTGTCTCACCAGTGAGAAAAAGTTACTAAAACAATACTGGCGACAGAATATACAACTGTCAGGCAAAAGAGTGCAGCTTTGGTGACTAACCCATTCTCACTGTGGCCACTGGGTGAGGCCTGGCCTGGCCCTGGCTGGCCAGAGTGGCCTTAAGTATCCAGGGTTAGCCCTTGTCACTCTGATAGGCAGCAGGAGGCTGAGGCAGCAGCTTCTCGTAGGGTGGACCAGTCTTTTCCTGGTGGTAGTCAAACATGCACCATGAGAAAGGCTCGTTCTGATCCTAGGCCACACAGGGGATCCTCCACCCCCGTGCTCCTGCTCCCCACAAGTCAACACTAGGAGCCAATGCTAAAATTCCCAAAAGAAAGACCTATTTTGAGAACATTCACAATTCCCTGCAGGCCACAGCAGGGACTCTGAGGGCCTGGTGTGACAGCCGTCAGGACCCAGAACATTATCTTATTGCCTGAGACCCTTGCTCCCACGGGGACCGAATGTTCATCTGTCACACGCTCTGCCCTCACCCTCATCTGGCTGGGACAGGTAAGAGGAGCACGAGATCAGAGATCAGAACCTAACGCCAGGGCTGAAGCCAGAGTCTGGTGCAAACTGGCAGCATCAGTGCCTGGAGCAGGGTCCAGGGAGCAGGCTGGTGCGGTGGGGTAGGGAAGCAGAACCTGAATCAAAACCATCACATTCTGGCCCGCAGAGACTCAGGTTCACGTCATTTATAAAGTCTATCTCTGAGAGTCACAAAAGTCTGGACAGTTTCAGCACTGCTGAAAAGTCCAAGTCTCTGAAGTTTCCTCGGAGACTTAAGGCAAACTCTTAACTATGAGCCCCCCAGAATTCAAAAAGTTAAACTGACACGATGATGCATGGATCGGTTGGTACTTGTGTGAGCCTTGAGTTGACCGGTTCCTATGTCACAAAAGCTGCCTGATGGAATCTGTCCCACATCTCTCTCTTACCACCCAGCAGATGCTGAGCAAAGCCAGGCCATGCTCTTGAGCTTTTGGAATCATGAACTAAATAAATATCTTTATTTCATATAAACTAGTCAGCATAGGTTTCAGCCATAGGAACAGAAAATGGACTAGGATAGCTTACCTGTCTCACTTCCAATCAAAGGCTGGTTTGCAAAATGCTTGACAAAATCCTTTAGAGATGGGTATTCATTAAAGCCAAATTTAAATGAATATCCAGTGTATTCAACATGAAAGTGCTTGACAGAGTCTTTGGCTCTGAAAGGGAAAAAGAAGGTACTTAATGTTATTTTTTTGTTTTTTGAGACAGTGTCTCTGCTGTTTAGGCTGATCTTGAACTCACTATGTAGCCCAGGTTGGCCCTTGGACTCTCAGCAGTCCTCCTGCCTCGGCTCCAGAGTGCTGGGATTTTGGGTTTATAAATTACTCTGGTATACTTTGTTTGGACTTTGGAGGTAGAAAGCGTGAGGTGATTAGCCTGTGCCAGTTTAAACTTCAGTGTGGTTTGGAAACTTATTGTATGTGCAGGGAAATGAACCCAGGAGGCCCCAGCCCGGGCAGCAGGTAAGCGCACCTGTTAGATCTTGGCCTTTGTGCTCTGGTGTTAGCAGCTCTGTAATCTAAGAGGAAATGAAAAACAATCCCAAACCAACAGAAGCTGTGGGTATGGCTGAGCGGGTCAGACAGTGGAAGGGACAGGGACACTGCCCAGTGCTGTGGGCGCTCCTGTCAGGCCCTCAGGGTCAGGGGATTCCCTGAGTGTCCCAGAGGCCGGTGAGCAGCAGCCCCTCCCTGACTGTCACGGGCCAGAATGCTGGCTGAGAGTGTGGTAGGGAGGCCCCCAGACTGGATGGCACCTGATGGGCACCGTTAACCTTTCACCTCTGGGGAGTGGGCTTGCAAAGGAGCCACCCTCAGAGGGATATGTTCAGCTGCCCACTTGGCCTCGCCACTGCAGACTCCACGGCCACAGCTGGACCTGGCCTCCAGAGGACAGAGGACAGGGAGGAGGACAAGGGCCAGGCTCCAGTGCTGTCTCAGCCAAAGGAGACAGGCTCACTCCTCCCTGCTTCTCTGGCTTCGGCTCCCCCGGCAAATGGGGTGCAGGGATGGTATTTGAGGTCTCAGCCCTCTGTGTGGCTGCTGCTCCGGAGGACAGTGATCTGCTGCCAGGATGCATCAGCAGGTGCAGGGAGTCCTGGACGCCGCCCCCACACCTACCTCACGGACAGGGAGAACTGGCCCGGCTGCTCGTGGCTGTCTCTCAGGAGGTAGCTGCCATCACGCCCGTTGGACAGGAGCAGGGCCTCCGCAGCATGCCTCGTGAGGTCACCATGGTACCACCTGGAAGGGGACAGCACTTTCACTGGGGCTTCGAGGTCCCAAGGGTCCCCCTCCAGAGCACTTCACAGGGCTCCAGATCCAGCCCTGGGGGCAGCCAGAGCAGGAGGGTGGTCACCAGCTTCAGCCTCCCTAGGGGTAAAGTCTCCATTACCTTACTACCAGTCAGGGGCCCCAAGCAGTGTGACTCTCCTAAACAGCTGGCACAGAAAGTCAGGCCAGACCCCCTGGAAGCAGCCTCATGGGTGTGGGGGGTGCCTGGGCAGAGCTCTCCTCACAGCGGGAGGAAGGCCACTCTCTGACACCTGACACCTGACACCTGCAGGGGACCTAGGACCTTGAGTGCAGGCTTCTGTGGGTGAAGCCACCTGTGGGACTGTGGCCAGGCACCTCCCCTGGGAACAAAAAGCTTTCAAACTTCCACTCCAGAATGGGTCCTGTGAACAGACTTTGGCGTTTTTCTCCCTTCTTCTGGCCTCTCTCAGGTTTGCTTTCACAAATGTGGGGCCATTTCACAGGAAACCACTGACCCATGATCATGCATGAAGTGAAATGACTTGCAAAAACCTCTTTTTACACTGAGTGTAGGTCCATCGGGGACTGGTTCAAACTTACAAAAGTTTAAAGAGCCAGGAAAGTCCCAAGGAGAGTCAGACTGGGGTGTGTGTTTGTGCGTGTGTGAGTATGCTTTAGAAAGATAACAGAGCTGGGTCTGCTGGCACATGCCTGTAACCTCCGCATTGTGGGAGACTGAGGCAGGAGGGTCTCAAATTCAATGGCAGGCTGGGTAGTTTAGTGAGGTGTCTCAAACATAAAACAAAAGGGGGCCCTGCTTCTCGTGGCTGACTCTCTGGAGGTAGCTGCCTGAGGGTGTGTGCATGACACAGGAGGCCTCTCCCTAAATCACTCTTGCGTGAGAGTCTGAGCTCCCCTTTGTAGCAGAGGTAGGCGCTCCTTCTGAGAGCATTTCGAGGAGAATATCCTCCTGGGGGTGAGTGCGGACCCGGAGACCCACGAGTCCTGGTGAGGGGCGTCCACTTTGGGCTGGGACAGCCATGCTTGCTCCACATTGTTGAAGTTACATGGAGGTGACTTGGGCGGATTCCCACGGTCACGCCCCTCACCCAGCCCCTACACCCCACTTCCACCCCCATTGCTCCCCAGCATTGCTTTAGCAGCACACTGCAAAGGCAGCAGGCGGGGAGCAGTCCAGGACCCCTGGAGGCGACTGCTGCCTGTCAGGAGGAGAGGTGGCCTCCGGTCTGCATGACAGGGGTGGACACAAGCTGGGTGGCGGCAGGTGAGGAGCACAGGCCAGGCCATTTTCCAGGGAGCCCACTGCAAACGTGCCTCCTGACACTCAGCTGCCCTTCAGTGTGTATTTTTTATGATTATAAAGCACACTACAAAATGTTTGAAATGTGCATGTAAGGAAGCCCTTCACGGAACAGAAGTGAGGGATTTCCTACTGGTAGCCTCACTACTGATGGGGGAATATAAATGAAAACTTCAGTGAGTGTTTTTCCTTATCCACCAGATCAATGGCATAGAAAAATGAGACAGTAGGAAGTATGGGGGAATTTGGGGTGATAGGCCTGTCATCTATCACCAGGGAAGGGGTTGGAGGGCGCTGGGCACCCAGACATGAGATCCCACTCGTGGCACCTGCTGGGTTAGATCCACTCTGTACCGCTTGTGAGGGAGAACACAGAGCTGAGAAATGCTACACATCGCAAAGCTGAAAACAGTAACTTATTTTCAGTAAGTGCCTATCGAAACACCCATCTAACTCTCTCCTACACATTTGCTGGAGTCTGGTCATTTCTTCACATGAGTACAGGTGAGTAATACAATTTTCTAGGGACAAAATTTCAGTTTTTTGTCTAAAACACTTTAAAAACTATTGAAAAATACAATGTTACTGAAAACCAGTTTCATCTTTGCAGTGTGGTATTGCTCAAATAGCTTTTGGGATTGCTGGTGGGCAAGGTGGTCTGTAAGGCATCTTTCCTACGTGAGCTGTGAGAGTCCAGTTGGAGGGATGCTCACTAACCCAGGCTTTGGTCTGCGCTGAGGAGACTTGCAGCTGAACTGAGCAGGCTTCACAGTAAAACTGTTGCTGATGGCTGCACAAGCCATAGGTGTTCTTCGTTTTTAAAAAGTTAAATAAAAATGCTTAACTCCATAGATGAAAGCCACATATTATTATTCCTTACTACAAGTAAAATCATAGCCACCAGCTTGACCTACGATCTTTCCAAGCTCTGTAGTGTCTGCATTATTCTGCAACCCCACCAAGATCTGCTTCCAGCCCTCACCTCCATGTTTCCAGTGCCGGGCAGCTTGCTCTGCCCTCCCTTCAGGCCTCCAGGGTGCTCCCCGCAGAGCCGGCCCAGCAGGGCCCCAAGGACTCCTGGGGGACTCAGTTGGTGACAGTATGTGGAAGGTCCACTCTTCTCTCTCCGTCTTTCCCAGCTTCCCTTCTGTGACAGACACCAGGCCCTTTACCACCAGTGCCCTGGTCCCCTCCAACACCTTCCATTTTCCACTTCGGCTGCACAGAGCCGGGCAGGGCTGCAAGTGCTGTGAGAACCACCTGGCCGCTGGGAGACACCAAACCAGCACCACCTGGGCCCTGCCCAGCTGTCTAGCTGTCCAGCTGTCTAGCTGCCTGGCTACCTCTAAGCTGGGGGACCCCCGTGGAGCAGGCCAGCGTCCTCATCTGTCAGAGTGATGGAGAACAGAGCCTGTGTTCCTGTGTGGCATGCCATCCTCTTCTAAACTCTGCACAGGGAGGTCTGTGAGTTTCTGCAGATGAGAACTGCAGGCTCTGCTAAACTATATAGCACATTAAGAATATGCCAGCTACTTTGCGAGTGCTGGGGATCTGTGCCTGTGCCATGTGAAATAAGGTCGATTTTCCTGCAGCTAAAAAAAGAAAACAAAAGCTTAGTCTTTCTTTTCCTGAAGAAGTGAAGAGCAGGAAATGACTATTTCCATTCACATTGGCCTTTTGCACCGTGGGCCTATGCGAGTTCACCAGCAAGTCTCAAGACAGAGGAGCAGAGATAGCCAAGCTTCCAGAAAGCATTCACACTGTGCTTGAGGTCAGCAGAACTTGCAGATCTCAGAGGATGTGACCGTGTCCCTCCCGTAGGACAGCAACAGATCCACGCATCGCCTACTAAAGAGCCTGCGCAGGAAGGGCAGACACAGAGCAGGAGAGCCAGGCTCAGGTCCCAGCTCAGACCAGCCCTGCTTCTCAGAGTGCTGCCTCCTGCCAGGAGCCTCTCCAGCAGGTCCGGAGTGCCTAGCAGGTTTCTTTCCTGCTGGGTTTGATTGTCTTAAAGGCTTACTGATTTAAAATTCAAGTCACATTCACCCTGTCCTTTAGAGGTGAACTTTTCAGACTTTCTGAACTGACTCACATTACAAAATATATCTTAGATCATTCTCTACATTCACAGGTACACACACAAGCCAGAAAGCTACAGGAACACACTCATCTTGCCTGGTACTATTTAGCTGGTTTTCTACTTGCTGTGAACAGACACTGAACTCATGGTGTTTGGGAAGCAGGGAAGGATTGGTGGGGCTCAGTGGTCCATGCTCTCTGATTTCAGGAGCCCAGGCTGGACACAGAATCCCCAAGAACAGCAGTCAGCACTGTGCTGCTCCTGGTGTCACTAGGGTCTCTAAGAAAAGCAGCTCACTGTCCTGATCACCAGGGTGACGGGCCATGTGTCAGCTCTGATGAGCTCCCCATCCTGAACAACTGCCCGGCCGTCCACCTCAGCCCTGCTCCTGTGCTCTCTGGGCTGCTGCCCGGCACTTCCTGGTGCGGAACAGGAAGTTCTCAGCCTGTGATAGCATCAGAAACTCTGGGCTTGGGGTAAGGTGCTATGTTATCTGGCTCAATCGGCCTCTGTGCTTCAATGTGTGTTACAGTCGGGCTCTTCCCAAGCAAAAGAGATCAAATTGTCTTCTCACTGACCATGGTGGTGGACCCTGTCCAGCAGAGGGAACCAGAAAGCCTTTGCCAAGGGACACGGAAGTCTGTGTGGGCCTCAGACAAGCAGAGGTCAAGGGGAGAGCCTGTTCTGGCCAGCAGGGCGCGTCTGGGATGGGGACCAGCATGGCATTGGCTCTGCTCACTCTTGCTTATTGCCCACATTCACAGTGCCACTGGCCAAGATATACTCAAAGGACCACAGATGAGCGTGTGAGCATCTCAGCCACCCATGGGCTAAAGGTGGGTCCTAGGTTCTCAGGGTTGTCAAGGTGCAGCCCAAGGAAGACAGTGCTAGAAGGAGAAAAGAATCCATGGGAGCCAGAGCCCAGGATTCACCTGGTCTCACAGGGGCATGAAGAGCGAGCCTGAATGTTCTGGGAGACAGAAATGCAGGGCCAGACAGGGACTCGGACATCCAGGAACACAGAGTGGCACAAGAGCCAGAGACATAAAAAGACACACAGCTGTAGACAGAGTGATGGGAGATGAAGACAAAGGCCCCTACTCCAAAACAGCCAGCAGCACATGGACAGGGATACCCAGTGGTGCCATAGGACACGGCAGCACCCCAGGACCCAGAAGGAAGAACCAGAGGATATCAGAGCGGACACTTGGAGAGGGACAGAGGGACTGACAGGGTGCATCTCATCCCCAGGGGCCACCTACACAAACCCCTGCCCGCAGCTGGGGTGCGGGAAGCACTGGAACCAGCACCCTGCACCTGAGAGCTTGCGGAGCTGAGGAGGGCTTCTTCTTAGGAGACTGTTATGGTGGGTCCAGTCCCCTCTCCTGCCCATGTGTCTTGAAGAGATGGCCTAGAGTTAATTATCTTGAGCTGTGGCTGCCAGGAGCGACCTGCACTGAGGGTCAGTACCAAAGACAGACAGGGCCACCTTTGGGAAACTATGCCTGCAGGGACATGTCCCGGACCCAAGGGAACGTGGGAGACACAGGCAGAACCTGTTTCCTCAGCTGTCTGTCTCTTCAGGCC